AACATATACAAAAATTAACTGAAAATGGGTCAATGGCAAATAAAAGAGCTAAAACCATAAAACACTTAGAAGAAAACATAGGGGTAAATCCTGTAAAACCAAAACTAAAATGGAGTCACGTATATTGGAGACAAAACAGAATTGGCCAATGCAGGTGCATTAAAGAAAAATGAAACTTAGCCTTACCTAACATAAGCTGCAGGAATTTACAGTTGTTCTCAGAAATTAGCACAGGATGCCAGCCAATCCCCAAATGCCAAGTCTGTTCACATCATCTTTAGACTTCCTTGTTCCCCTGACTCAGTTACCTTGACACAAACAAGGAAGAACATCACTAGGCAACCAATCAGTTGAAAAAGCCAAATAACTTCCGCATTTACCCCATAAAACCCTATACTCTGTGAGCTACGAAACACATTGCCCCTGTAGCCTTGAGTTTCCCAGCTTGCCGGTCAAAAGCCTTGTAATAAACTCATCTTTCTGCTTTGTTTTCCTCAGTGTGCAGAGCTTGGTTTTCAACAATCCTTATGAACTTGGATTTGGCAATGGATTCTTAAGTATGACACCAAAAGCACAAGCCACAAGAGCAAAAGACTTCAAAAATTTAAACGTTTGTGCATCAAAGGACATTAGCAAGAAAATGAAAAGACAACCTACAGAATGGGAGAAAATATTTGCAAATCATATATCTGATAAGGGTCTGGTATCCAGAATACATAAAGAATTCATAACTTAAACAACAAAAAAACAAACAACCCAATTAAAAAATGGGCAAAGGACTTGAATAGACAGTTCTCCAAAGAAGATATACAAATGGGCAACAAGAACATGAAAAGATGCACAACATCACTAGCCACTAGGGAAACGAATATCAAAACCACAAGATACTATTTCATACCTACTAGGATAGCTATAATCAAAAAAACAAGTGTTGGTGAGGATGTGGAGAAATTGCAACCACCATACATTTCGGTTAGTATGTAAAATGTCTCAGCTACTGTCGAAAACAGTTTATCGATTCCTCAAATATTTAAGCATAGAATTACCATATGACTCAGCAATTCCACTCTCAGTTATTGACAAAGACTCTCTCCTTGACTAAACTTCAGTCAGGCTCCTCTAAGCTCTCCAGGCCTCTACCTTAGCATCCGCCTTGTGGGACTTATACCAACCAGTTGTAGCAAGAATCCTGCTAAGTCAGCTTAGAGAGAACCCGCACCTGGATATCTGATCACCCTCAGTATCTGATTAAATTCTTGATCTCCCACCCATGGTATCTGATCACCCTGATCTGCCTTCAGTCAGAATTCTCTAAAGTCAATTTAGCCACAATTCCCCCCTTACTCTTGATATTTCCTTTTAAGAAATTTCCATCCACTGACCCCTACCCTGCTCCTTGGCTATCAATTCCTACTTGTTCATGCAGTATTTGGAAGTGAGCCGAGTTCTATCCTGAGGTCTCTTTTCCCCTATAGCAACAGTTCCTGAATAAAATCTGTTTTTACCGCTTGAACTACTGTCTGGCTCTAGTTTTCTTTAACACTATATACCCAAAAGAACTGAAAACAGGGACTCAAACAAATACTTCCACACAAATATTCATAGTAGCAGTATTCACAATAAATAGCCCAAATGTGTAAACAACCCAAATGTTCATCAATGGACAGATGGATAAAACTGTGGTATCTACATACAATGCAATGGAATATTAGCCATAAAAAGGAATGTAGTACTGCTAGTTGCTACAAGGTGGATGAACCTGAAACATTATGCTAAGTGACAGACACAAAGAGGTCACATTCCATTTATGTGAAATATCCAGATTATTATGTGAATCCATGGAGTCTGAAAGCAATTTGTGTCTGCCAGGGTCTGGGAGAGAGAAGAATGGAGATTAACTGCTCAATGGGGGTGATGAAAATGTTTTGGAACTAGACAAAATTGGTGGTTGCACAACATTTTGAATGTGCTAAATGCTACTGAATTGTACACTTCAAAATGTTTCCTTTTATGTTCTGTGAATCGCACCTCAATAATAATTTTAATAATTGTATAATCCAACAACCAAAGTTGTTTAAAGGTGCAGAATTACAATCATACATTACAATGTGTGGTCGTTTAGTCTCTGAATTTTTACAACTCTTCAGTGAGGTTTTTTTTTAGCTTTACATTCATTGGCATTTGATATACTATTTAAGGCTGCAGGGCTTGGACTTCGTCATGTAGGAATATGTAGGAATAGCGTCGTTCCCTTTCTATTTGGATGGGCTGAGCAACAAGGCAAACTAGTTCCAAGTTTCTTCCACTCTAGAAACTCAACAGGGCACCCAAGCCCCCAAATAACAGCGGCATCCTACCTCACACTTTATGGAACTGGAGGCCAGACCCCGCCAAGCAGCTCGTGGGCCCCGCCCCCTGCTGGACCTGAGTCACGACTGGCCTCGCGGGGACCCGCCCCCGGCGGCACCAGACGCGGCCCAGCCTTCTCAGCTCCACCTCTTCCGCCCGCGATCGCCGGCGCGTCCCGCCCAGCGCGCCAGTCGGAAGGTGGGAAGCGTAACAGGCCTTGGGCCGGGCTGCGGCGCCGCGCCCGCGAGGGGCCGTA